CGAGACCTGTTACTGGACTCTCAGTGAAATAAAATGGATGTTTACCTTGTCAAAGAGGACAACTTACCAGAATTATTCTGATCTCCTGTCTTTTGTCGATAAGCAGAAAGCCCAATGCAAACACTGCTGTATCAGTTTATGTCTAAACACTTACAAGTGACATTAAAATCTCTCACACTTAGCTGAGCACCAGTGGCTCAGGCCTGGAAACTTACCTCCTTAGAGTGTTGAGATGTGAGGACTGGGCTCAAAGCCAGCCTGGAGCAGAAAAGCACCTGTGTCTTTTATATTCAATGAATCAACAAAAGCCAAAAGTATATCTGTGATTCAAGTGGTAGAGCACTAGTTTACACAAAACCAATATTCAGAAACAACATCCAGATCCCGACTTCAATGATCAGAACCAGCACCAAAAACCCACACAAGAAAACAAGCTTATATTCATTTCTTTAGTGGCAATGATGTAAATTCCCTGTGAAGTAGAGAAAGATTAAGAATGTGGAATAAAAAGAGCAACACAGGTCATAGCTAGGCAAAATAGGAATCTCCAAATAATATCATTAATGCTGTTTTGATAACTGAGGTCCAGACCTTTAATATCATTGTGATAGTCCCTTTGCAGCACTCAGAAGGAGTTTAGAATGATATAAGTATTGTAGTTTGGGGAAGACCTCAACAAGAAACAGAGCCAGTATTCTGTAGGTAGAAAGAAAAAAAATGGTTACCTATTTCATTGGTTACCAAAAACAACTAAGAAAGCATAAATCTTGGTGAACTGTGACATTCACACAAGTGGTTAAATAATTTTTATTGTGCTGTTCTACAATCTCGCTACCCAAAACAATGATGTTGGTATTTATGATTGAGAGGGTATATTTCCAAGACTCTTCATGCATCAAACACATCAGCACTTACTGGATAGAGCTGCTTCTGTCTTTAGACACAACCAAGGGGTCAAGAACCAAAGACCTTTTCAAGCTTAGGGCCCAAAGAAAGCTCAGCCTCCATCCTCAGGAATGACAGATCAGGAGCTGGCTAGTGCCAGCCTCTGTCCCTGAGGATAAAATCATGCTACTCACAGCTGTCCTGGAGACATTCAAATGAAGGAGGGAAAGGATGAGCTCATCATTGACTTCCATATGACCTTGGGAAAAATCAATGCCCAGAGCTCAAAATTAGTCAATTTCTGCATCTTAATTGGACCAAATCTCTAACGAATCCCAAATAGAAATGGAAGAAGTAGAGAAAAGATAACAACAGCCACATTAGATTTTGGGGGGATCTCTTTGTCCATGCTAACAAAAGATAGTGTGCACTTTCTTTCACTGCTTCATTTTCTGTTTATTTTTTTAAGTTCCAGTGTTGTTCATTCTCCACTTGATTGGACTAAATTACACACCAAAAATGTGTTACTGTATTACAATGAGATATGACAAAGTAAATAAGAACCAAGACACAATGAACCTCTTCTTAAATTGTCATATACTTTCTAGATGACTCTCTATTCTAGACACCATATATGGTGTATACACATGCACATCTGAAGGATGCTAGGAGGAGGGCAAAGAAGTATAGGAAAATGGGTGAAAAAATAAGCAGAGGGCCCCATTAGCTGCACTGGTCACTGATGAAAGTGAACTAAGCAACTCAAGACTAGTGATGGGAGGGAGGAAATGAAGGAGAAAGACGAAACAACTGATATTAAGCAAAAGGAAAGAAATGATCATTTGGATACTTAATGGTGAAAAACTAAAGCCATTTCCTCTTAACTCAGGAACAAGACAAGGATGTCCACTCTCTCCACTTCTCTTCAATCTAGTATTAGAATGCCTAGCTACAGCAATAAGACAAGATGCAGACATAAAGGGGATCCAAATAGGGAAAGAAGAAATAAAACTCTCCCTCTTTGCAGATGACATGATCTTGTATTTAAAGAATCCCATAGACTCCTCTCCCAAATTACTCAAGCTGATTCAAAACTTTGACAAAGTACCAGGGTATAAAACTAACCCCCCAAAATCAATGGCTTTTCTGTATGCCAACAATGAGAAAAGTGTGGCTGAAATTAGGAAAGCAACTCCATTTGTAATAGCCCCACAAAAAATAAAATACCTAGGAATTAACTTAACCAAAGAAGTGAAGGACCTCTATGATGAAAACTTTAAAATCTTGAAAAAGGAAATCAAAACAGAACTTAGAAAATGGCAAAACCTCCCATGCTCCTGGATTGGAAAGATTAACATTGTGAAAATGGCAATACTTCCCAAGGCTATCTACAAATTCAACACGATACCTATCAAAATTCCAACCTCATTCTTCAAGGAAATAGAAGAGGCAATCCAAAAATTCATATGGAACAATAAAAGACCCCGAACAGCAAAAACGCTCCTCAACAGAAAGAACACTGCTGGAGGAATATCAATACCAAATTTCAAACTCTACTATAAAGCCATAGTAATCAAAACAGCTTGGTATTGGCATAAGAACAGACCTCAGGACCAATGGAATGGAATTGAAAACCCAGAAATGAACCTACAGACCTATAGCCATCTAATCTTCGATAAGGGAGCTAAAACAATAGAATGGAAGAAAGACAGCCTCTTCAGTAAATGGTGCTGGTAAAATTGGTTAACTACTTGTAGAAAACTAAAGCTAGATCCTTATATATCACCCCGCACCCCAGAATCAACTCCAAATGGATCAAAGACCTCGAAGTCAAAGCAAACACTCTGAAAACCTTACAGGATGGAATAGGAGAAATCCTAGGTCTCCTTGGCTCAGGCCGAAATTTTCTGAATAGAGACCCAGAAACACAACAAACCAAAGAAAGGTTGGATAAATGGGATTGCATGAAGTTGCAGAGCTTCTGCATGGCAAAGGACATAGCTAGCAAGATCAATAGAAAACCCACGGATTGGGAGAAGATCTTCACTAGCCATAAAACGGACAAGGGTCTCATATCTAAAATATACTTGGAACTCAAAAAATTAAATCCCCCAACAACCAATCCTCAAAGAAACAACTGCCCAATAAATAAGTGGGCTAAAAACTTAAAGAAAAACTTCTCTGAAGAAGAAAGAAGGATGGCCAATAGACACATGAAGAAATACACAACATCCCTAGCCATAAAAGAAATGCAAATCAAAACAACATTGAGATATCACCTCACTCCAGTTAGAATGGCAAAAATCAAGAACTCTAACAACAACAGATGCTGGAAGGGAGGTGGACAGAAGGGAACCTTACTTCATTGTTGGTGGGAATGTAAACTTTTTCAACCACTTTGGAAAGCAGTATGGAGGTTCCTCAAAAGACTTCACATAGAGCTCCCCTATGTCCCAGCAATCCCACTTTTGGGCATTTACCCAAATGATCATAAACAAGACCACACTAAAGCTACCAGCACAACTATGTTTATTGTAGCATTATTTACCATAGCTAAGATATGGAACCAACCCAGATGCCCCTCAGTAGATGAATGGATCAAGAAAATGTGGTATATATACACAATGGAATTCTATACCTCCATAACAAAGAATGACATTGCCCCATTTGTTAGGAAATGGAAAGACTTGGTAAAAATAATGTTAAGTGAAGTAAGCCAGGCCCAAAGAAACATAGGTCCCATGGTTTCCCTTATTTGCAATATCTAGTATATGTATGAGTCAAGCGGAAAAGGTCAGATAATGTGATGGTAGGAAAATGAACCCTTAGATATATATTTTAATGTTTATTTATTTCATGCATTTGTTTCGAACGCATTCATAAGATTATCTCTTTGTTGCTTTGTATGTCCCTCCCCCACAGTATAACCCCTGCTTTCACTATATTTGATGTCAGTATAACTTGTGGAGGAGATGGGGAAAAACAAGTCGTTTAAGGATACAGGTGGACCTGTTGCAACAATGAGAAGTACAAATTGTCATGTCGAAAACGAGCTTTATAATGTTGGCGTGGGTGGGGAGGGAAGGAGGCTGGGAAGGGATGTGAAGGATAAACAAAGGAGGAGGCTGCAATGCTTGATAAGAAATGTATGCATTATCCTGCCCATGTAATTGTAACCCCTCTGTACAGTATGTTCACACAAAAAAAAATAAAATTAAAAAAAAAGAAATGATCATTTGGGTAAATGTGTCGAAAAACAAACTTTACAACTTTGGTGGTGTGGGGGTTGGGTTGTGCTGGGTGGAAGTAATGGGGTTTGGGAGTGGGGGAGTGGAGATTGGAAGGGATGGTATGGGATAACAAAGGAGGAGGCAACAATGCTTTATAAGAAATTTACTCACTGTCTTGCCCATGTAACTGTAACCCCTCTGTATGGTATTTTCACAATAATAAAAAAAAGGAAAGAAATATACATATCACCTGATTTGGAAGAAAGAGTTTTATTTGTTAAACTCTGTAGAGTTCATAAGCTTTGTAAATCAAGACAATGACAAGATGCATTGTGAAGGTTAAAATGTATTAGTGACTTTAGCTATGTATCACTATGCCACAATACTGTGAAATTTATGTAATTACTTAATCTCAACAAAGAAAAAGGGTTACTGTTTTAAAATGCTGACTAAAAACTTGAGTAAAATGTACTAAATTTTCATATTCTTCTGTAAAGGTATTAAATTCATTATTAATTTCAATATTATACACATAATTTTCTTTTTTTTACACATAATTTTCTTTAAGTCAGATACCAGTGGCTCCATTAGAAATCTGGGATCTGAGGATCACAGTTCAAAACTAGCCTGGACAAAAAAGTCTATGAGACTCCATCTCTAACTTACAAGTAAAAATATGGGACTGGAGGTACTTCTCCAGTTAAAATGCCACTTGTGAATTAAAACCGAAGAAAGGGAGCTTGGGGCCCTGATTTCTAGGGCTGGCACACTACACACACACACACATGTTTCCATATTGAAAACATAAATTGATTTTTTAATTCTCTTTTCTTCCTACCACCCAACTCTGAAAAAAGTCAATCCTGTATTTACATTTTTTTAAAAAGCAAATAATGTCTTTTCTCACGATACTCTGTGGATTTCACTGTGTGCAGTATCAATGATAGCCATGGCTCAGCAGATACCAGGAGTTAAAAAAGGGGAAAAGAGAGAGAGAGACAGAGAGAGACACAGAGAGAGAGACACAGAGAGAGACACAGAGAGAGAGACAGAGATAGAGACAGAGAGAGACAGAGAGACAGAGACAGAGAGAGAGAGTGTGTGAGAAACACCCAGTATATTAAAGTCATTAAATGAAAACGAAATCATTATGTGTGAGCAGTAGAAGAGTAACCCATACATGGCAGATGAGAGGGGCCAGAATAACAGCAATAGGCTATGGATCCTGCCCGTGATCCCTGGGCCTGCTGCTCAGGATCTGCTGTGTGTTGATGCTGCTGAACACGGGCCCAGATGCGGGCAAGGCCTTGTGGTATTCCAGAGCCACGTACAGCCCCTCATACTCAAGACCCTCTTCTCCTTCCTGATGATGCTCACTGCCGCATGCACCAGGGTATGCTGGAAGTATCCTTCCCCTTCCAGAGCAGGACCCTGAGCTCCATTTTCCTGAGAGGGGCCAATCTATGCGCAGAAGCTGGGCAGCTCGGACATGCTGGTTGTCATGTCGGGGGATGGCCTGATGCATTGTGTGACGCCTGTGCACTAGTTGGTTGGCCTGGTGGGGTGGATTTGGAAGCTCCCAGAAGCAGAGCCTACACTCCTGCTCTAACAGGTGGTGAACAACTCATGGACCAATCAGACTGGAATACTGTAATCTGGAAATCTCTGGATACCTTCCCAGGAGGATCTGGCAACCTACTGGTAGCTTCCACTAGCCAAAGTGATAGTGGGTAGAAATTCTCTAACTGGCTTTGAGAACATCCAAAGGTAAGAATATTGGCTTGGGTTTTACAGTTTTCTTATTTTACTTCTCTTATTTTGCTACTACTTTTCAATACTAACCCATCCAAACTCATATATGCCTTGTTTTTCAGCCCCAGGATTCTTTTGATAAAACAATGGTGGAGTATACGTTCAGATTTTCTATTTTCTCATACATATTGTTCAGATGTATAATGTGCAATCTACTCTACATACATATTTTTTACCACTGTGGTTTCCTTTAAGGGACAAAGAAAACAAATAGCCCCTATATTTAAATTTTCCTGGCTTTATTTCTTCAAAATTTAGGAAGGAGACAAGAATGTCCACTCTCTCCACTCCTCTTCAACTTAGTATTAGAATGCCTAGCTAGGGCAATAAGACAAGATGCAAACATGATCTTGTATTTAAAGAACCCCATAGACTCCACTCCAAAATTACTTGAACTGATTGGAAAATTTGGCAAAATAGCAGGGTATAAAATTAACCCTCAGAAAGCAATGGCTTTCCTGTATGCCAATAACAAGAAGAGTGGGGCTGAAATAAGGAAAACAACTATTTTTTGTATGTTTTTTATTATAAAAATACTGTACAGAGGGGTTACAGTTACATGAGCAAGGTAATGAATATATTTCCTATAGAGCATTGTTGCTCCTCCTTTGTTTTTCCCTTACCATCACTTCCCTCCCACCTCCACAACTACATCTCCCCACCTCCCTGGCCGAAGTTGTCAAGTTCAACATAGTGTCTGGACATCTAATTGTTAGAATGGGTCAATCTGTATCCCTATTTAAGCATATTTTCCCCTCCCCTTCTATAATTAGAGAATTGTATATACAAGATGCAGAGCACCAACATCAAATACAGTGAAAATAGGGGTCATAGTGTGGGGAAGGAACATACAAAGAACCAAAAACTCACATGTTACATTATAAATACGTTCAAAACAATACCAAGAAAGAAAAAAAATATTTGTGTCCCTATCTTGGGGTTCATTTCACTTAACGTCATCTTATATGGTGATATGTACATTGCTTTTGGCCTTTTCTACTTGTTCTAGACATGTACTAGTTATTGCAAATAAGGGAACCCATAGGACCTTCACTTAATATAATTATTCCATCTTTCCTTTTCCTAACAAATGGGCCAATATCATTCTTTCTGATGGAGGAATAGAATTCCATTGTGATATACATATATATGTAAATATATATATATATATATACATATATATATATATATATATATATATCACATTTTCTTGATCCATTCATCTACTGAGGGGCAGCTGGTTTGGTTCCATATCTTAGCTATGGTAAATTATGCTGTGATAAACATAGTTGTGCTGGTAGCCTTAGTATGGCCTTGTTTGTGATCGTTTGGGTAAATGTCCAAAAGTGGGGTTGGTGAGTCATTGGGGAGCTCTATGTGGAGTCTTTTGATGAACCTCCATACTGCTTTCCAAAATGGAAAGCAATCCCTTTTGTAATAGCACCACAAAAAATAAAATACTTATGAGTTAACTAAAGTGGTGAAGGACCTCTATGAGGAAAACTTTAAAAACCTGGAAAAGGAGACTTAAGCAAGTGGAAAAACCTTCCATGCTCCTGGATTGGGAGGATTAACATTGTGAAAAGGGCAATACTGCAAAAGGCTATCTACAATTTCAATGCCATGTCTATCAATATCCCAACCTCTTTCTTCAATGAAATAGAAGAAGCAATCCAAAAATTTCATATGGTACAATAAAAGAACCCGAACAGCAAAAACAACCCTGAGCAGGAAGAACAGTGCTGGAGGAATATCAATACCAAATGTCCAACCCTACTACAAAACCATAGTGATCAAAACAGATTGGTACTGGCACAAGAAGAGACCAGAAGACCAATGCAATAGAACTGATGACCCAGAAATGAACCCACAGACCTATAGGCACCTAATTTTTGGCAAGGGAACTAAAAAAATAGAATGGAAGAAAGACAGCCTCTTCAGTAAATAGTGATGTCAAAATTGGTTAAACACCTGTAGAAAACTAAAGCTAGATCCTTATATATCACCCTTCACCAGAATCAAGCCAAATGCGTAGGGCACATGGGCAGCAAAGATGGCGCTGAGAGGGAGTTGAGTGGGCAGAGACCGATTTGGTTTATGTTCAGTGCATAACCAGCCCATGGAAGTTTAGATGCATAATAGGGTGTGATCTTGACAGTGATTGGTTCCTTCTCCTCCCCTCCCATGCCACCCGGTCTTTTTTGCTTTAAAAAGGACTTGCTCTGTGTTAAAAATTAGCTTTCCTGATTGACTTGACTCCTCACTGTTTCTGATTGTCTCCTGGGCTAAGGGAGGCTGGGGTACAGGTGAGCAGCCGCACTTACCTTTCTTCGGACCCTGTCTGTCTTTCATGGGATGGATGAAGACCCTACATCTGGCACCCAACATGGGGCTCAAAAGGAAAAGATACCGGCCAAGGCTAAGCGGTCTCTCAGGGTAAGTTAAATCCTTAGTATGGGTGATGCTATCTCACAGAAAAAGGAGGAGGAGGCAACATTAGTCCTAGAGGTAGTAAAGGAGGACTTGGGAAGTGAGAAGGAAAAGAAATGGGTCAAAGTCGACCGAGAATGCACTGAAACATGCAAGTTGAAGTCAAAACGAGGATGGTTACCCCCTCTGACTTGGGTGCCGCTGATGGTCCTAGGCCCTCACCATATTCCCCCGATCGGGGGGGAGGTATGGTGCCCTACATGATCTGCGAGAGGGACCTGCAAGTTCTGGACCCCTACCGACCATCCATGGAGGGACCAAGGACTGGGGAAGTAACCTACTCGGAGGTCTGCACTTTAAGGGAAGTGTCACCCGGGAGCCTGGACACTAGGCCACAGAATTCGCTTCCACAAGCATATCTGGTCAATCTGGCACCAGGAGCAAACAGGCCCTTGGAATGGTATCCATGGGAAGCTAAGGACCTTAAAGAGCTCCACATGGTGGTGGCAGAGGATGTCCAGAACTCTCCTTGGGCCCAGACCCTATTACAGGACATTGCTTATTACCCATATGTCCCTAAGGACTGGCTAGATGTGGCCAAAGCTGTCCTCACCAGTTCTGTTTATTAAATGGTGTGCTTTCTTTAAGGAGGAACGCAGAGAGCAGGCAGAGAATAACCAGCAGGCTCAACCTGCGAAACCTATTACTTATGCCATGTTAACAGGGATGGGGGAAGGGTACTCCACTGGCGTCCAACAGGCTGCAATTCCTGGCCCATACCATGACCGGGTGAGGCAGGCTGGACTTGCTGCGTGGTACAAACTGGATGATGGGCCTACTGAGTCCCCCATAGCAGGAGTGAGACAAAAGCTGAGTGAGCCTCTAGCTGAGTTTGTAGACCGAGTCCAACAGAGTATTCACCATGAGCTGCCGGCAGGGAACCCCCAAGATCAGTTTGTAAAGCTGCTGGTCTAGAAAGGGATGAATGCAGACCACCACATGGCCTGAGCAAGATTGAAAGAGAGTTCCCTGAGCAGATAGGTGGTGGTCTCGCAGGATGTGGGAACGCAACAGCACTAGTCCCAATCATTAGATTTAGCTTTACAGGCTCAGACATCTGCAATGACTAAGACTATTACCCAGGCACTGGCAGCCCAGGGCCAAGTAACCCCAAGACCATCAGGGAGATGGCACTTTAAGAGGGACTGTTTACAACAATCCCCCACCAACCAGCCCGGGGGGGGGGGGTAATCCACCCCCTATACCCTGCCCCAGGTGCAGGAAGGGATACCATTGGAAAAAGGATTATCCATCCAAGTTTGATTTAGATGGGAAGCCTTTAAACTAGGGTAGGGGCATCCTCCAGCCTGCCCAGGCAGCCTCGTGGCAGGATGACCCAGGTCCATTGGACAGTCCCCTGGTGGAAGGACTCTGCCCTAAAATGAGTATTCTCATAGGTGGAAAGAGGTTTCACTGCTTAATTGACACTGAGGCAGGTCAAACCATACTCAGGGAGGAGAAAGTGCCCTTGGACTGGATGCTTGCACCCGGGCCCCCGATATTGGGGGTATGGGGCAACTTCCAGTCTAAAGAGATGGTTGCCCTTATGAAATGGACTAGCCCAGATGGAGAACAGGGAAAGATATGCTCTTTAGTGGCAAAAAACCTCACTGCCAATTTACTAGGGCAAGACATACTAAAACAAATGGATGCCATGGTCACTATGGAC